TTTTTTTTCAATTCTCTCTTGTGTTTACGCTTATGCTACGTCAATAATATAGCTAAGTCATTTAACGAGTATCATGACCTAACTCGAGTTAGATTACTCATGACAAAACAACATCTACTCATCCATATTGCCTCTTTAATTCAACTACATTTCAAACCAATTCTCCGAAAGCGGTCATTTATGAAACCGATTATTGGCGAGTTATATATATCACTTACAATTTCAATTAATATATCACGGTATGGCATAATATAAAATGTAATTCAGTAACATATCTATTAACAATAACACATTTATAATTAATATTATATAAACTTTTGTTGGTTGTCTAAAAAAGAATCAAACACCCTGAGATCTGTATCATTATGAGGTTTCTGAATTTGGGGGAAAAGACTAAAAGCGAGAAAAATGAAATGAAATGCTGTCCAATCTTAGGAATATTGAAATTGTTAGTGCCAATCTAGGTTACGTGCAAATTGACATTTGATTTCAATAGAATCTTTAACCTTTTTTAGGTATGTCCATTGAAAGTGTAATAGTTATCCACAATTGAATGTAGGTAAAAGGGGCCTTAATTGTGTTGGATCAACAATTTGCAATTGTAAATTATTGTCTATTGCTAGTTATTCATCCATATATAAAATAAATAAATAAAGCTAATTTGGTATTAAACTTTAGCATATATAATATAAGAGTGATCCACAAGTGATGATAAAGTATGTAAAGCAATAAATATGTAAATATATATATATATAATATTATATATCTTATGTGAAAAATATATGTAATTCATTATATTCATAAAAACCTGACTAGCATAAAATATATTATGATATTTTAATATCATTGTTAGGCCACATATATATAACCATTAGATTTTTTTTTATATAAAAACTGCATATTATAAAATATCATGATTTTATTTATATTATATATATTTTAAAGTATGACATTTGATTATGTAATTATATATTTATTGAAGGAATATGATTGCGACTATTAGATAGTCTAACAAAATACCTGACATGTTTGTTTATGAAATTTTTCAAAAAAATTCCAACATTTTAACCCAACCACTTTTTTTAACTCAACTTTAACTCCAACTCCACTATCATCAAAATTATCAATATAATTAAATAATATCAATCAATCATTCATACACACCACATCAACCTTACTTCACTATTCATCCACTCACATTATTTTAACTAATGACATCTTTAATAGAGGTTTTGGATGAGGTTTAGAAATACAAACCTCCCAGCTTTTCCAATATTAAATGAAAGAGGTTTGAGGTTTATGAAAAGGCTATAGATTGAGTTTACAAACCTTTCCTAAACCTGTAAAGTAAAATACGAAAATATAAAACTAATATTCTCTTATGAGTGCGTGTAGTGGACATCAAAAAATTAAAGCCTCATTTTCATGATTGAAACACACGCCTAGGTGCAAAACGTGTGGTGTGTGATGGCCCACCTGCCAAAAGTTTGGCAAATTACTTTTTTCTCTTTTCTTTTTGCATTAATATTTTTGGGTTTTAGGAGATTTATTGTTAGTGGAGGTTTATGTTTGTAGGAGTGAGTAAGAGGTTTTGGATGATGTGGCATATTGAAAAGTATAAAAGGAGGTTTATGAATGAGGGTTGTTAAAGTTGCTCTAACCATCACTTCAATCTCTCTCTCCTACTTTTACATCAAATCAATTTTAATTATTTTATTTTAAATATTATTTTAATATACCCACTAACAACTAATCATACCACATTTTTCAAAATTAACCAAACCAAATCAAAAAATCCAAACAAAACCAAAAATTTTTATAAACAAACATGCTCCTACTATTTGAGTTTCATTTAACTATTATTTTGCATTATTTCTTTACAATTTAATCATTTCGTATGATACAACCTGACTGAAGCGAAATGATGAAGAAACGGAACAAAAAGGTACATTATTCTGTTGAAAAATGAAATATGTTGGGTCCATATATACTGATATACAATTTGTTTCGTGCCAAATTAAAACTAATCTTTGTTACCAACTATTTACAGGAAAAAATATG